CAGGAAGGGGCCCGGCGACGGGGCAGATGGACTAAGGAGCCTGGGCACCGCACGGCGATGGCTCGGGCCGACTAGGGAGCCAGGGCGCATGCCGGCGAAGGGGCGGACTATGGAGCCAAGGCAGGGCCAGCGAGAATGCGGGCGACTTAGGGAGCCAAGGCGGGCCCGGCGAGGGGGCGGGCGGACTAGGGAGCCAGGGCGTAGGCAGGAGAGTGCGCGGGCGGACTACGGAGCCAGGGCGCCACCTAGCGACGGCGCAGGCAGACTGGTGAGCCAGGGCGCATCCCAGCGAAGGGGCGGACCATGGAAGCAAGGCAGGCCCACTAAGAGTGCCTGCGGACTCGGGCAGCGTGCCAGGGCGCGGAGCAGTGAGGGCCCAGGACAGTAACAAAGTGGGCCGGCGACCAGGACGACAGACTAGCTGGCCAGAGAGCAGGCAGGCAGGCCAGCGAGCTGGCAACCGCCCCAAGACCAGAGCTGCAGTCCCCTCATTTCTTGCATAGTCGGGCACTCTGTGCACCCCAGGGTGACAGAAATCGCAATATGCAGGAGGACCAGAGCCCCAGGGCCCTGAGGGATCCCAGAAGAGAAACAGGAAAAGACTGGAAGTAGGAACCAGCAAAGTGGAGCACGGAAAGGACTGAATTCACAGTCCAGGTGCCCCAGACTTTGCAAATCTTTGCGCAGTATCCTCTGCAGGGCGGTACCGAGGACTCCCCATTCTCTCCACAGCTCCAGTCACACCTGTCGGTAACCTGGTCTCAGGAAGGAACCATGGCAAAGGCTGCAGCCACCTGGGGAAATCTTTTCCTAGTTCGGAGCCTTTTCGTTCTACTGAACTGTCTGGAGCCCACGCTGCCCACCGGTGAGTTCCTGGGATTTAGCTGGGGCAAGTAGGGAAGGAGGGCACTGGACTACTGAATCAGGAGGTCAGGGTCTCCTCCCAGGAAGCCCCCCGGGCTTTTCTTCACTATCATCAGGACTTAAGTCCGGGGTCACCCTGGTCCTCACCACGTCCCTTCCCGATTCTCTTCAATGCATTGACAAAGTTAATCCCGGGAGGACCAGGAAGGGGCTGCATGAATGAGGAGGGCAGTGTAGCAGAGGGGGTAGCTAGTGACACCTTCAGCACCACTGGGATCAGCTGAAGCCCAAACAGAGTCACCAGTGTGGACCCCTCAGGAGGAGGTCTCAGACAGCTTCCCTGGACCTAAGGCATGCTGTGCTCTGAAGACTGCCTTCCTGGAGATTCCTCACAAGGTCTCCACCATCCCAGGACATCCTTGCCCTTGAATTTTCTTTCCCACGTTCCCAAGGTATTTCTCAGCAGATGACCAGGCAGCCACAACCAAGGACATTCCTATTTTTTTCCCCTTACATTCTTCTTTCTGTTCTTATTGTTTTCTTTTGGGACAGGATTGCATACTGCAGCACATACTATAGAATCTTCAGTAATTCCTTCTCTCCCATGGTCATCCAAGTTTCTGAGATTACAGATTTGTACCACCAAGGTCAGCTTCAATTCCCCTGACTCACCAGCATTCTCAGCTCCCTTCCCTGCCCATCCAGCCTTCCACACTTTTCAGTCCATTAACTGCATTTTAATCCCATTTTTCCACCAGCCGTCAATCTGTGTTCATGCCTGAAGACACCTCAGCTAATGGACTAGCACACCTTGTCCACTATGGAGGACTCTGGCGATGGTCCTGTGGGGGGGGGTTGAAAGCTTCTGTCCTTGCTCCCAAGCCCATAGAGTCTACCTCCTGGGGGGATGGCATCAGATACTGGTGTTCACTTAGAAAGGAGGGGGTTTGATTTTTCTGCAAATCACAGGCACTGAATATTCTCCACCTGGCAAATCTCACTACATCTGTCCTGCATCAAATACTCAGTTCTGCATTCAGTGTGACAGACTCAGAATGCAACAAGCTGGTGAACGGGACAGCAGATTTGCCCTCTGTCCATTAGGGGATTAGGATATATCCCATGTACCAGTCTTGGTGCCCATCCCCTCAGAGTGTCTTCAAAAGTACAGCCAAAGCTGCCTGTTTCCCAGTCAGCAGTGGGTTCTGTGCTGCCTGTGACTTCTGGGTCAGCTGGAAATGACAGGAGGAGGTCCTGGCTTTAGGGCATCTTGATCTCTCCA